GCAATAATAATAACAATAATAATAATAGAAATAATGATGATGATGAAATGAATAAGATGACAAATAATTGCTAATATTAATCATAATAATAAATGAACTGCCCACCTCATTAACATAAACTTGATCACTCAGCTCCACAGGCTTCCCGCCAACCAGCCACGTGACTTCCGGTGGTGGGATTCCCTGGGGTGGTCTGCATCTCAATGTGACGTCACTTCCGAGATGGACGTCCGTGCTCTGTGGATGCTCAAGGAATGTTTCGTCCAATTCTGTTGAGGAATGAACGAATGAATTAAGGAATGAATGCATGAATGCATAGATGAATGAAAGAGCAAATGAATGGGTGACATCAACACGATATTAACACTTGAAAATTAGTTGGCTAACAAACATGCAGGAAGACTTGAAGAGGTATCATAGATTATCTAATCAGTTACTACGATTCAACGCTCACCTGATTGAGCGAGCTCACATCAGACATTATAATAAGCTCTCAACTTATCGTCTTCATCACCATCTTCAAAATTATTCCACGATTTTATTACTTTAAAAATAGCATGTACGTTGTTCTTCGGTGCAATGCTTTAATATTCATTCCTTCAATCAATCATTTATTCATTCATTTATTCATTCATTCACTCATTCATTCATTCACTAATTTTTTCATCTTTTGTTCATTCGTTCCTTCATGTATGAATGAATGAAGAGACAAATTAATGAACGAACAAAAAATAAATAAATAACGATCACAATGTAGATTGATTGACATTGATAGATTTTTACGAAGGTCTCGGCGGACAGCATACAAACAGCACTACCTGCTAACTTTATAATTATGTTTATATACATGTATAATTGTATATATATACTAGATGTTAGATCAGTATTGTATGAATTTTACCGAATTCAATTAATCAATTCAAAGCTTTGCTTTTTCAATTTTCCTTACTAAAATTGTTCATTTTGTTGAAAATAGAATTATCCAAGTCCATCATGAAAATTTAATGAAACTGTTGCTATCCAAGTACACCATGCAGATAGAC